ATTTCTCTACAACAAACTCTCTTCCTCCTCGTTTTTTTATGAGAGCGAGAGTGAGAACTCGAGAGAAAGGAAGTCAGAGACACTTTAGGAGACGTGAGAGCCAGCCAGTCAGTCTGCGATGTTGTTGCGAGAAAGAGGAGAGGAGACTGGCATTATATAGGGATCTCTCCTCACTTTCCCAGTTCCTTGGCTTTCTTGTTAGGTCTTCTTTTTCCTCCCAGTCCTTGTAGTAAGTTTTATTGTAATTGTGCCCCTCTACATAATTATTTTACTTTTCATGGCCTCTTTTGTTAGTGGATTTTTCTTCTGGCCTCCTGTATACATGAAAGTCAATTAATTTTTCTAGCCTCAAAAAGGAATAAGAATCATACCTGTCAGGATTGTGGTTCAAAAGGAAAAGATCACTGAGAACTAAAATTTTTTTTATAAACCTAACAGCAATTATTAGATTTTTTTTCCATGGTTTAATGAAAAGAGAAATTGGAATAATTAATTCGTATCAAAATCTAGTTTTTTTATTAATTTTTTTTTAATGAATATCACATATTTAACATGATACTTGAAAAAATACAGAAAATTTTTAACTTAAATAAAATCAAATTTATTTAAATAAATACCCTACATTACTCTATATTACTTGGAGTAACAAGTGAAACCATCAAGAGGTTATATAAAAAATCATTTTTACATATAAAATGTTACTCCAATATTTACTTTTATAATAAATTCATTTATAATTTCTTTTTTTAGATTTGAGAAAACCTTATCCTCTAAAAAGTATATTTTATGGGTTTAGGTGAGAAAGTAAAACTCTTACTCTTACAAAAAATACACATCTTGACTTCAATCTGAAATCAACATTTGAAATTCTTTATCATCATACTATGCTTCTTAACGACTCCATCCATGACTTCATTTATACATAAATCATAAACTACTGTGCTTCTAAGATAGTAGATTATCTTTAATTTGCTACTCAAGGGATATTTGGCCTAATTTATTTTTAATTTTTAATTTTTTTAAAAAATATTTTTTATTTTAAAAAAAATAAAATGATCTTTTTAGTGTTTTCCGGTAATTTTTATATATTTTTAAATAACAAATTATTTAAAAAATCATATATCATAATATTAAACACCCCTCCATCTTTATTCAAGTACAAAGAAATTAGTGTATCTCCAGAATTTCTGGGATTTGACACGTCTTTATTTCGTAGGTGGGACGTATCCAAAGAGGGTACAAGGACAAATAATTGGGGTTGATATCAAATATGTAAAAGTAAAGGACTATAAAGGTAAATGTGCGTGAAGGCGGCGCAATGTGCGAAATGGGCGGAGTCTCGTCTCGTGTTCCTTTTTTTCTGTGCTCTCTTTCCTACATGGCTTTTCAAACGTTCAGACTCTACGCACGTTCTCGACCGCGTCAAGCTTTGGCGTTACGCGTTGAATATTCGCCACGTGGTTTTGACGGCGCTGTCTAGAGTTGACTTTTAAGACTTGGTTTTTTTAAGAAAAAATCTTCCTTAAAAAATAAAAAATTTCTATTGCCTCAATGGAGAATTTTCTTACCGAATTTAATTTGAATAGTCGAGTTGTTAGGAACATGTTTTTGATTTTTGCCTTGTTTGTTTCAAGCAAAGTAGTCGTCAAGCTTTCTCGGTGTTCGGTAAGCTCATGGGAACTACTTTTTTGTTTCCAACAAAAGCAAAAATGAAGAGTTTTCCTCTTTTTTATTCTAGAAAACACCTCCTTGTTTTTACAAACATAACATAATTATTTTTCAACTAGTTATACTTTTTATAATTATTTTTTTATAATGATACCATAAAAAAAATTCTTCGTAATTATACTTTTTATATCTCATTTTTTTATCATAAATGCTCCGATAAATTGCATTTGATATTTTATAAATGTTAAATAGATTTGATGAATGATATTTTATAAATGTTAAATAGATTTGACAAAAAAATATTTATAAATTATTTTTCAATTTATTTTTCTTGACATAATTAAACATTAAAAAAAATTATCTTATTTTTCATAATATTATCAAATATTAAAAAATAATTTATTTTTCATGGAAATCACTTTCTAAAATAAATTATTTTTCAACAAACAAACATGATATTAAATCTTAAAATGACCGGTTAAACCCACACAAAAAAAAGTTTATTAGTATTTGGCACCAACTAGATTATTAGTCTGTGCTATATTGTAAATCAGATCAAGTTTTTCTTAAACATTAAAAAAATATTCAAATGTTGTTAATTTTTTTTTCAAGTGGAAATTTTTTTTAAACCGTGTAGGAGTTGATCCAACGTGGCTTGAATGATTGAATGGCTTTACCAGTCCTATCTTTAAATCGAACTACCCATAAAAACATAGTTTGATTCGAAAAAAATCAAGATGATGTCTTTTTTTAATATTAAAATAATAATATATTGGGTTGACTTGAGTTAATTCGGGTTAACATATCAAATTCGTGACCTGGGTTATGAGATTATAATAATCCTATAGAAAACAAATCAAAACAATTATAAAAATATAATTCTCAATCAATTCAATGTTGAAGGATGTAATTGAAAAGAATAATTAAAAAATAGCATAAAAAGATGATTAGAAGTATCCTGTCAAACTCACGATTTGGGCATAAAATCAAAATAACCTCGTAGAAAGTAAATGAATACAGATTAAAAAGTTCAATTCTCAACCAGCTAGATGCTAAAAAATAAAATTATAAAATTAAAAATATCAATAAAAAAATAATCATAATTAATCCGTCAAAGTTATGACATGTGTCACAATACCAAAATAACTTCATAGAACATATAAAAAAATAACTCAAATTAACCTATAAAAATTCTCAAATCTAATCATAAAACTAAGATAATCTCCTATAGAACAAATCAAAATAAATTATAAAATTTAATTCTCTTTATCAAATTCAATATTAAATAATAAAATTTATAAAAGTTTTAATAAAAAAATATAATAAAAATAAATTAAGTCAATTTAAACTATCTCATCAAACACTATTTTTTATTATAAAATTAAAATAATTTAATAAAAAATAAATTAAATTAAATGAATTCTAGTGTGTTAAAAAAAACCAACCAAAGACACCTTTTCCCAACTAAAAATAAAAATAAAAGACACTTTTAATTTTTGTTTTAGCCGCCACCCCGAACCCTCTCTCACTCTCTCTCATGTGATTTACCTAGTTATTTCATGTGTGCTTAACACTTGCAAGATGAACCCCAGCTTCGAATCTCCCATCCAAAGGCTTTCATTATGCTCTCTGGAGGGCACTGACAGGCCTGGTCGAAGCGACGAGCTCCTGAAAGAAGCCAGTCCAAGAGGGGTGGGTCTACAGGAGAAGCAAGTCATTTTGAAGGATTTATCCGGTTTAGCAGTCTTCAAATAAAAAAACGATACAAACCAAGCTGAAAAGAATGGTTTAAACCGGTTTTCAATTTAGTCTAGGTTAAATTTTTCAAAAAGAACAATGACCAATTTGGTTGATTTTTTTATTTAAAATTAGACCAAATCAAACAACGAATACTTCTAATAAAATATAATATCTGATTAAATATAATATTAATGGATAAAATTAAATAATAATAATAAAAACTAAATCAATTAGATTAATACGTTAAATCATGATCCAAATCATGAAATTGATACAATTCAATAAAAAAAAATTATTGTTGAAAGACTTGTAATCTAAATCTTGAAAATGAAATAACCTCTTAAAAGGAAAAAAAAAATCTAATTTGACCACGATTAAAATATCAAAATTCATGATCTTAATTATGAAATCAATATATCTCTATATGTAAATAAAAAATATATTATAAAATTTAATTTTTAATTAATTTAATGTTAAATAATAAAATTTAATAAAATATTTAATAAAAAAATAAATAACAAACATATCCGGTCTGCTATTCTAAGCCGATTATTGAGCTTAGTCCTTTTTTTTCAAATTTGTTTTGGTTTTTTTTTGCTCTCCATATTTTTTTATCAAATTCACCAACTTTTTAGTTTTTACATGTGGTTATTAAACACCATGATAAATTTTATTTAAATCTTAATAATTTTTTTAATTATTATGTGTATGACATAAAACTAATAATATTAATGATAAATTGTTCATGAAATTTCACTTCAATTTTATTCTTAAAATTTTAAAATTAATTTTTAATGTGATTTTATCATATTTATAGATTTTTAGCTTTTAGTTGTACATAAAATATAAAAATGCTATTATATATTTTAAAAAAAAAATGTTTTAACAAGTAGCCTATCAATATAAAATAAAAAATTTCATAGCTGGCCATTCAAATAAACAAAAGGCCACAAGATTACAGCCCAACAACATCGCACATAAAATATAAAAATACAGTTATATTATTTTTTTAAAAAAATTGTCTTAACAAGCAGGCTAACAATATAAAACAAAAACTTTCATAGCTGGCCATTCAGATAAACAAAAGGCCACAAGATTACAGCCCAACAACTGTTAATCAAGTTGCTTGCACTGGTAGAAAGCAAAGAGCAACTCGTGAGCAAGAAGGAAACAATAAAGAATCGTGTCCACAAGAATATCAGGGACTCGGGGGATATATGATTAAAAGAAAGCATAAAGAGTCCACAGAGACAGGAAATGAAATTTGTAGAATGTGAAGTGTCATCTATTTTTTATTCTTATAAAGAAAGAAAGAACCACGGTTATTCCTTGCATTATGCTCATTCCTTCTTATCACATCGAAATCATTCTTAGCAACAATTCAAGGAATATATACGGGCCGTGGCTCCCTCCAACATTTATCAATTGTGCACACTACTGACTTGCATTCAATTTAAGCTGAAATTATTCCTCAATCTATTAATTTCAAGTATATGAACAAAGCTTTCTCAAAAGAGGTATATGGCCAAAGCCCAACTCTAGGCTCAGCAAGAAAAACAACAGCACATATCAATATAGGGAAAATGTTCAGTTAACTATAATGTATACGGCAAGGCACCGCCACCGCCATCCTAATGTATATAGTGGTGTAATGCTGGTGTCACTCGGTTCCCCCTTTTTACATCTTTTATGTAATTCCGGGCAGAAACAACAGCTAAAGGCAATAAGACTAGCATGCTGCTCTATGTTATGCTACCAGCCTAATTAATCATATACCAATATTTCCTATTTCACTTTTATATATATTCGCTGACCAAAATTTCCCTTGGTGGTTGGACGGATAAACCCTAGAAAGATGACCTGTAGTTATATAGTATAACTAGGTCAAGCTCCCTGTATAATTTTTCATGCTATCTGCAAAAGGAAAGGTCACTGGTTACAATTATAACGCATGGCAGTAACATTTTTAGTGGTAATCTTATAAATTAATTCACTTCATTGAAATGTCAAAAGCAGTAAAAACATTTATGAGAAGAACCGAGTACCTTGTAAATATATGGGTCATGTCTCCCTCCTCTGCCAGATCTTTTCACTTCTTCTTGCCTTAACAGCCTAAAATTTCAGCACGGTTCATTAACAATCAAACGGTGATGAATATTTTGCAAGTAATAAATATTTTTTTTAATAAAAAAAGCACTGCTGTACACAATTAGATCTACACATTCCACGTGCCAATCACGTGAGCTTCCTCACTCACATTCTCAAAGCCTTGCTTGTGCTAGGACTGTCTCCAAGCACTTGACGAATCCTCATTTCAGCGAAACAACCGCTAGACAGCAGCTTCAATATTGCTTCGGCTAGGCTGCTAAGGTAACGCGAGCCAGAGCCAGATCTAGATCTGATCCTCTTCGGCTCCTCGTCATCACCAGCCGGCTTCATCATTAATCCTTTCCTTTTCATATGGTGGTTTCGCGCGCTTGAAACAGCGCTGGAAGTTCTTGATAAACACGAACCTGACTCCGTCGACGCCTCAACTGCCTTCTCTGGCGGAGCTAGTACGACGGTCCTCTGGTGACCCGAGATCCAGCTCACCTCCGAGCGCTTCCTTCGTGCTACCTGCAAGAATTACGAGAATTAAACTCAACAGTAATGATTATTAACAGATCAAAACACAGAGAACGCTTCGTTTAACAACAAAATCACAAAAAAACACGAATAAAAGGACCGATCTAGAAGCAAACACAGTGCTATAAATACCTTAATCCAAGAGCTTAACCGATAACAAATACAGTAAGATTGAGAGAGCATGTCTTAGATAACATCCAAACAGAAGCAAAACTGAAGAAAATCAACTAATAATCACCGAAAGAGATTCGTAATGACTTCAAACGGGGATTTCTACTCAAAATCAACAAAAAAGAGCCAAAAATCACATACAAATAAACCGATAAGCATAAAACAGAAAAAAAAAACGATTTCCAATAGAGATATTCACTCAAAATCAACAAATAATAGCCAAAAAATCTCGCTATGCTAAAATCAACCAAATAGAGCAGAAAAACACTAAAATATCAACTAACAAGAATCAACAGAGACGATCACTCAAAAATGAACAGAACGAAGCCGAACAGAAACTCTGAGATTAAACCAAGAAAAAATGAAGATGACCTCGGGCTTCATTTCATGGCAACGAGACACAAAAGCGACGATCCGTAGCTTGTGAGCTCGAATCTCCTTAAACGAAGATACATCACTTGTAAGAGATGAAACGCACGATTTCGAGCCACTAGTCACCGAGCTCAAGCTCTCTTCTTCACTGCTTCTCTTTCTATCACTTCGCTCTTTCACAGACTTCTTTCCATCAACACCAAGACTACCAAAAAAAACGACATCGTTAATTAAAATACAAGCAAAATTAAAAAGCAAAGCAAGTTTTGATTGATTGAGTAATTACTTTGAAGGAGGAGAGATAGGTGTGGTATTGGAGAGGAGGAGAAGAGCAGAAGCGACAGTGCATTCAACAGGAGAAGGAAACGGATGCATTTTTGTGTTTTGAACAAGAAGAAACGCAACGAAACGTTTTTTGTGTGGGTGGCGGGCTGTTCCAGATATTTGAATTTTTACTTTTCCTTTAGTTTTTGTTACTGCTATTTTTGTGCTCTCTTTCTACCGGTTTTATCATGGACAGTTGGATGCTTCTCGCGTGGGGTGGTACTGTCATGAGAGAGAGTGTAGAATAACGGGACTGTTTTGAACGTTTGCCAGGTGTCAGGTATTACAATGCGAGTTTTGCATACAAAGTTTTATTGACCTTCATGTAATCGGGCTGTTTGTTAGGTTTAGGTGCCTGCCTGTTAGCTAAATAGAGTTTCAATAAATATTAGATTAACAGGTAATTAACTAGCGCTATGACGCAGGTTTGGTTAGATTTTTCTTGAACATAAAAAAAAAGTTTAAATGTTCCTAATATTTTTTATTTTAGTAAAAATATTTTAAATTATGTGAGATTTAAATTGATAAAATTTAGTTGATTTTATAATTTAAAAGCAGCTCATATAATTTATAAAAATATAATTTTATAAACAAATATCAAGATAATATATTTTTTAATATTTAAGGTAATAACATATTGAATTGACTTGAGTTGATTTAGGTTAATATGTCAAATATAAAAATTAAATTTTAAAATTATGATAATTCAATAAAAAAAATTAAAATAAATTACGGGACATAATTTTCTATCAATTTAATATTAAATGATGAAATTTAAAAAAAAAATCGATAAAAAATGATCTTAAAAGGTGTCCTAAAATAATCTCATATAAAATAAATAAAAATAATTTAAATTTTAATTTTCAATCAACTCGATGTTGAAGTGTGAGATTTAAAAAAATAATAGAAAAATAAGTTAATTCATCAAGCTTATAACTCGGCTTATCATATTGAGATAAATTTATAGGAAAAAAATGATTTGATTTAATTCGAGTTAGTGTGTTATATTCATGACTTTGATTATGAGGTTGAGATAACCTCACAAATAACAAATTAAGATAAATTATGAAATTTAATTTTTAATCAATCTAAATCAACTCATTAAGCATTATTCCTATTTTATAAAGTCGAGATAGCCTATTAAAAAATAAAATAAAATAATTATAAAATCTAATTTTTAATTAATTCAATATTAAATAATAAAATTAGAAAAAAAAAAATTAATTAAGAATAGTAATAAAAATGAATCAATTAGTTTAACTAATCAAACTGACAATTTGTTTTATAAAAATATGATAACTCAATAAAAAATAAATATAATATTAAATGATAATTTTTTATTAAAAAATATTAAATTAAAAAAAAATCAAAATATTATTCAAATAAATAGTTATTTACAAGAAGAGGTGTAATAAAATCTCATTCTCTTATAGTTTATAGTTAATTTATCCATGTTGTACTGTATATTAGATTTTTTTAACCTAATAAAATATTTAAATATTATTAATATGTTATTTAATAAACAAAATAAATATGAATTTAAAATTTAATACATATTAGATGGTATTTTATTTACATATTTATATTATAATATATTTATTTAAATATAGTGGATTAATCTAAGTTAATATATTAAATACATAATTCGAGTTATAAAATCATAATATTTATATAAAAAAATAAAAATTAATTATGAGTGGTAATTTCAAATTAATTTAATGTAGAAGATAAAAAAAAAACTAAACTAAACTAAACCTACTATTATATTAAAAAAAAAAACATTACAATAAAATAATACAACGTAAACCTCCACCTCCAATAATTCACCTTAAACTTCACCATTGCCACTACACCAATCTATCACCATTACAATAAATCGTCATATCACTATTATTATATTTTAAAAAATATTATTTATCAAACATCATTTTTCCACATAAAATAAATACTTTACATATAAAGTCCTTTTCGTCTGTCAAATATTTCAATGAAAAAGGAAAACTTTTTTTTCAGCCTTTTAATTTGTATTTAGTTTTAAAAATATTTTTCCATGTTTCTCACAATTTTCACTTACAAAACCTGACTTCTTCCAAGAAAAAAAAAACTAAAATGATGAACTATACAATTTCATTCTCTTATATAAAAGCATTTTCAGCAATTAAACCATTGAAATTATTTTCTTTTACATTTTCTTAATGTCATAAATTTATTTATTCTGTCTAAATATAATATACAATATTTTTTAGTTAACGAGTATATCTTTTTAATAATAATTTTAATTCAAATAAAATAAAAGTAATATTTTATAGTTGAATGATCACTAATACAAAAATTTAAGGTGATTATCATAAATTATGGTTTTGATTTTCATTGAAAATATAAATGATCCTTACGTATTTATTTTTTTCCATTTAAAAAATCTCCTTCGTCATGAACAAATGAACAAATATTCTAATTCTTTATTATACAAGTACAATTAAAAATATCGATGAAAATTGGTTTTCCATTACCAAACAGCCGTAAAACTCATCAACACGAATCGTGATGAGCTAATTAATATAGATTGTCAAGGACGAGGAAAGTCAGCTTCAAGATTCAAAGCTAGAAAGCGAGAGGTAATTAATATATTAATTTTTATATTATACTTTTATATTTATGATAAATTTGATTGATAAGGATTTTGTGTGGGAAAGTATACTTTAGACGTAGTTAGATAGGCATTCATAAAAAAAAAATGTTATTTAACACATTAATACACACACTAAATCGGAGAAGAGTTTTTACTTTGCTGCTAGCATAATACTATTTATTGAAATAATAGTTTTTATTTATTTATTTTTCTCTTTATTTTTTTTAAATTTCAATCTTTTTTTTACATTAAATTTATTGAAAAATAAAATTAATATTTTTTTTAATTTACTTATTATGAGATTATCTTATACTCATAATCTAGACTATGGATTGTCAGGTTTAACTTAGTTGATTCGAGTTTATTTTTTTAATTTATTATTTAATATTGGATTGATTGAAAATTAAAATTTATGATTTTTTTTATATATGATTTCTATGAGGTTATCTCTATTTTACGACTCTTGTCATAAATTTGATGGATTAATCCTGATTGACTTGAGTTTTTTTGTATTTTTCAATTGATTTTTTTAATTTTTATCTTTCAACATCGAATTGATTGAGAATTGATCTTTATAATTTATTTCAATTTACTTTTTATTGAGTTATTTTGGTTTCATGACCAGAGTAGCGAGTTTTATAAGTTAATTTAAGTTAACTCAGGTTTTTTTGTTTTTTTAATTGATTTTTTTCTAACTTCATTATTTAACATTGAATTTATTAAAAATTAAGTTTTTATGAATTTTTTTTTGTGATATCATCATGATCTCATGCTTTAATATGTAGATTAACAGGTCAACTGATTTGACTTAAATCAATCTAATATATTGTTGTTTTAGTGTTGATTAAAAACATCTCATATTAAATATTTTTTTAATTAAATTATATTTTTAATAGTTATTCATATTATTTTAAAATAATCAAGAGAATTAAGTCACATCAAATCAAATTCTACATAATTTAAATTTTATTATACTAAAAAAAATATTAGCAATAACCATATATTTTTTTATATTAAAAAAATTGATCTAATCTTTGACATAACGTGGGTAAATGATATAATATAAATATAATAAATTGCACCCTTTCTATAGACTACCCCGTAATAAAAGCAAAATAATGGTCATAGTCATACTCATAATAATAAAAACCAGCTCGTGTATATACTTGACACTCGTCTGCTTCACTCCCCCCCTTCATCTCCATTTTCCTCTTCATGCCATGCGTTTAATTAACGACTAGATTTTTTTTTTATCTCTCTGAAAATAACTAGTCAACTAAAAATTCGTCGTGACATATTAAAAATACTATAATTATAAGACTCAAACCAAGTCGCTGGTCACAAATCGACTGGGCTTGTTTTACAGCCTCTGGTAACCCAGGGG